GATTTGCTAAGACCTTTAAGGAAGGTCGTAAGAAACAGATCAAGAGCAGTCAATTGTTTTGAGTTTAAAGTATAAGACATTTTAAAGTCTAAAACAGCCTTTTGTGACTCAAAATTAAAACTCATTTAAAACTCCATCTTTAAAAATGGATTAGTAGGACCCATAGGAAGGAGATATTATAAAGGTAGATAAAGGGTTAATCCAAGGGTTAATTTAAGGGTAGCCTTTAAATTCTACTTAAAATTGAGCTAAATTAGTAAATTCTCATGGAAAGGTCTGATAGTGAGCTCTCCATCCCTAGAAGTATTTAAGCAATAGGTAGGCTGACTATGGACAGGGCTGATAAGGAGGTATTCAAAGTATCGGGTAAAGGATTGAACAGAATGATTGTTAAGTCCTATTAAAAATTCTATAAAATAAAAGTTCAGAGGATGTGGCAGGAAGAAGGATACATTTGCTAGGAGGAAAGACAGTGGGCATGTTTACATTGTCTACAAACCACTGTGTTTGTGGGAGCCGTGGACCAGGCCCCACAGAAGCAGTGGTTTATCAATCTGAAAGTCATCTGCTTTGCAGATTCTCAAAACCAGCATTCCCACAAGACAAAGCCTCTTGGTGCTGGGAGTCGGCAAGATTCTAGCTGGAGAAGCCATCAATAATGTGGCCTGATTTTCAGAAAGTACTTTTGTCTTCTTGTTAACCATAATTTCTCAGAAACGTCTGGCTCCTCTGTTTTGAGATGAAATAATTTTTCTTGTTTGTAATTGGAACTGTAAAATTATATTAGTCTGTAAAGCTTCAGGAAGCAGCATCTCTAAATTGTGGCTTGATTGTTAAGCAAACACAAATGATTTAAAAGATAAATATTGCAGAGCCTTAGATCAATCTTCATAGGCTAGAGGCAGTGAGTATTAGAGACCTGCACACCCAGCCTGGGGACCGGATGCCTGACAAGGGCTGGGAGATCTGCCATCCAGTGACAAGTCCAAATTGTAATTCAGACCAGGCACTTAGGAACCCGCAGAGCTACTCAACACCGTATCTTCATAGAAAAGGGTTTTCTTTGTCAAGTGACTGCAGAGAGGAAAATGCAGTGTTTCTGGTCTCTGGATTCTTCCTCCTTCCAGAAAGTCTTGTCCTATGGCAGAAGGAGCTACTACCTGAATGCATAGCTCTGTTGAAGTGTGATATGCTTTTGCAATCATTTCCAGACTCAGGGACACAGAAATAAAATGGTCCCTTTCCTCTCGCCCTCCTCCTCAATATCGGTTCCACAGAATGAATGCAATGGAGATCCTCTGTCTACTTTGGAAAGCCACGTTGAGGTGTATCAGGCTAGAAATACTTCGGGAAGGGAAACCCTCCTGAGAACCACATCTGAACTTCTCATCTTCTCCAAGGTCAGCTCCTCTGCTCACTCGCTCGCAGGGTGAAGACATCCCCAGTCACACAGGAAACCAGTAAACTCGACTCCTCCTCTCTCTCCTCTCAATGCCCACCATACCGTGAAGTCATATCCGCCCTACCCCTAAGCCAACCTCTTCCATCTTCTGCACCAGGTCTCCCAAGCTGACCCCTCCCCCCCATTTCCAGTCTCAGAAGTAGGACTTTCTCAAAACTAAAACCTGACCACAGAACTTTCCTGTTGCCCTGAGGGTGAGTTTGCTACACTCTTTGACCTAGCCAAAGGCCCTCTGTGACCAAACCCTTCTGCTTCTCCACCTACCACCTCCCACACCATCCCAGCCATGGTCTCTCCTCCTTCTGAACTTCTGCACATCATTTTCTTTGCCCATAATGCTCTTATCCCACTCATCTCCACCTAACTAATTCCTTTTTCCATCTAGGTCTTAACTTAGATGCCAAATCCCCCAGGACAACATTCTCGACACCCCAACTCTGATGTGGGTGTCCTGTTCTGGGGGCCTGTAGCAACCAAACTAACTTCTGTCTTAGCATTTTTCCCATTCTATGGTCATTGTCTATGTAACAGGCAACCAGTGAGATTCTTGTCATCGACCCAGAAATGAAGCTGAGGTCCGAAGCTGGAAACAAAGGGGTTAATCGCCCCACACTCAAATTCAGATTGTTTCCAGAAGTTGGGGCATACCATCATCCCTCATGGTGTGTATGAAAGGTGCTGGTTCAAGACCAGCCCTACATCAGTCTGCACGCACCCCATCCTAGAACTAAGGAAGGGCTGGCGGAGGCTTCTGCATATAACGCAATGTCTATACAGAGAGGCCATCACCCCCTCCTCTCTGAAGCTGAGGTGGCAGCAGGGAGAGCCGAAGAATCACTCATAAAATATACAAAGATGAGACTGGCACCTTATATCCTTGCTAGGAAAATCTTTGCCAATCTACAGTCCCAGGTACTCCCTGGTTCCATCAGCAGAAT